CATGTTTTAGGAGGAGGAGTTGGAGTTGGTATGAAGGGAACTGGGATAACAACAGAAACATCATGAGTTCACAAAATAAAAAGTAAGCTAAATCATCAAAATGAAAGAAATGACTCACTGTTTGAAACCGTCACAATGACACATCGAAGGTCAGACTGGTAGATAGAACTGGAGGCGCTATGGAGATAAATTAACACCAAAACATTAATTAAAAATAACCATATGATGCTAAATCTATTCTTTAGTCCTTAAATATGTGTTTTTTGTGTTCTGTGAGTAGCCTTCAAAGTCTCTGGTTAAATTTTATTATTCTCATAATCGTACCCACATCAGTGGGGAAAATCTGTTTTTGGAGCCCTTATGGATCTCTGCTTCAGCAACCTGTCAGAATCAGGAGGGATTTTCAAAAGACATTTTGTATCATTGAAGGTGAAAATTATTTTTATTACTTTTGTACTTAAGTACATTTCAAAACCTGTACCTTATACTTTTACTGAAATGAACTAGTTATGTTTATCAGTCTTTTCAGCTAAGTAGCAAATGTGAGGAACTTTTGAAACTTCTGATCAGATCAGATACTGACTTTCCCTGGACAGTAAAACAGATGGGATGGGTTTCATTATCATCATATTGACTGAAAGACGGCGTCCATGTCAGGGTGAAATATCCTGAACCAGATGAACTCTTGACCATGCTGACCGGTCCGCTGAACAGGAGCTCAGTGATCCTTTAACACACAGGAAACACATCAGTCTGTTTGGTTATATGTGCTAAATGTCCTGAAAACATATTTTTATGAAGTAATTATCAAAATGCTCTGACAGATAAAAATAATTCGTGTCCAGGTTTCATGTGTTTTGGATCATTTGGCATCACTGTGTTATTTTAACACAATAAAGATCAAATTTCAGATTTTTACCATTGATTATTTAGAAGCTTACCTCTGATTAGAAACAACATTTATTTTCTACTCACTCAGACTGAGTCGCCTCTGCTNGTGCCTGCCATGCAATGCATGGAGGCAGTGACTGACCTGCTTCGCAGGTCAGTCACTGCTCTCCTTATGCATTGCTAATGGCATGCCCCAATAAATCAAAGATGAAAAATAAAGAATTGACTCATCGTCCTTCTTACTTGTTTCAGGAGGAGGACTTGGAGTTGCTATGGAGGGAACTGGGATAACAGCAGCAGAAACATCGTGAGTTTGGAAAATAACAAATAATAAATTAAAGATGTAAAAGAAAGAAATTACTCACTGTTTCCAACCCTCACAATGACACATCGAAGGTCAGACTGGTAGACAGAACTGGAGGATCTGTGGAGATAAATTAGTCCAAAAACCTTAATATTAAACTCTTTTTAAAATGGCCATTTAATAAGGATCAGAATAATCATAAAGGAGACATATTATGCAAAATCCACTTTTTTTATTCCCTAAATAATTTTTTTGAGTACTTTGAGTGTCTAATGTGCAAAATATTTAATTTTTTTCTCTCCTGGTGCTGCATAGATATCTTTATATTTGTTATGGGATTTATTTTTCAGTTTGTTCATTTTTCTCTATTCATTATAACATTATCTCAGTTATGACGTCACCACATTTTCTGTGGAACTGATAAATGAGGTCATGACTTCCTGCTAATCAGTTTTATGAATCCAACATTTTTTCCCTCACAAGATTTTGTATTCCAAGTTCAGCTACGTCTAAGTTTCAAGTAAACAAGTTAAAATCTTTGATTCTGGTGTTTATTAATGCAGAGGATTTGTTACATCACCTCCAGGCATCAGAGCCTCTTTCAAGGATCTGGTCAAATTTTATTTTCCTAAGGAAAATCTGTTTATGGAGCCCTTATGGATCTCTGCTTCAGCAACCTGTCAGAATCAGGAGGGATTTTCCTAAAGACATTTTGTATCACTGAAGGTGAAAATTATTTTTTTAGTTTTGTACTCAAGTACATTTTAAAACCTGTACATTTTTACTTTTACTAGAGTAAACTATTTTTATCAGCCTTTTTCAGATAAGTACCTGTATTTCTACTTAAGTAGGGAATATGAGAACATTTGGAACTTCTGATCAGATCAGATACTGACTTTGCCTGGACAGTAAAACAGACGGGATGGGTTTCATTATCATCATATTGACTGAAAGACGGCGTCCATGTCAGGGTGAAATATCCTGAACCAGATGAACTCTTGGTCATGTTGAACGGTCCGCTGAACAGGAGCTCAGTGATCCTTTAACACACAGGAAACACATCAGTCTGGTTGGTTATATGTGCAAAATGTCCTGAAAACATATTTTTATGAAGTAATTATCAAAATGCTCTGACAGCTAAAAATAATTAATGACCAGGTTTTATGTGTTTTGGATCATTTTAGCATCACTGTGTTATTTTAACACAATAAAGATCAAATTTCAGATTTTTACCATCGATTATTTAGAAACTTACCTCTGATTAGAAACAACATTTATTTTCTACTCACTCAGACTGAGTCGCCTCTGCTCTGATGTTGATTTCTATCATCTCATTAACGTCTATGAAGAACTGAGCTCCATGTTCAGGAGTTGGAGGCAGAAACCTGGGCAGATATTCACCTGCTGTGCAGGACGGAGCTGCAGGATCCACTGGAGCAACGCAGGGAAAAATAATGCAGATCAAGTCATGAAACAGCAGAATTAAACTAAGAACTGCTGTCAGTTTAAAGATAAATTCAGTAAAGTTACACAGCTGTCCATCTGAGTTGTTCTAATAAAGTGGGATTTTCTTGTGTTAAATTCTTAATGATCAACTTTGAACAGATGATTATTGAATATTAAATTTATTCAGTGTTTCTCTTTGCAGTGAAGCAACATGATTGAAACATGAAATCAAACCTTTGAAAAGAAACTGGCTGGGGATTCTGGTCATAGAACTGCTGGAGCTTTTCGACGTCGTTCCACTAGAGTAGTGAGTCAGAGTGATGATCTGTCTGGGAAAATCCTCCATCATCAGCTGAACTGCATATGAACCTTCATTGCTGCTGCTGGTTGGACTGAATGATAGAGAACAAGACTGGAAGAGAAGAGAGAGAGAAATCAGATTATAAATCAAGTTTAATAACATTATATTTACTGGATTTCATTATGGGTTTTATTTGTGTTTGTTTTATTTGTGTTTGTTTACAAATAAAACAAACACAAATAATATTAAATTATTAATATTTTAGTAACTTAAAATATTAAGTTATTAAACTTAATATTTCTATTAACCTTAATGGAAATATTAATTTCTATTTAACTTAATTTGCAGATTATGACTCTAATCACATCAACTGAGAGTTCATGCTGAGAAAAGAACGCAGCTAATTTTCAATTTAAATATTTTGTTGAACCGCAAATATAAAGAGTTGAACTTTTTCCAAACCCCTGGGGTCGAGGGCAAATATAAAAATAAAATCTGAGTATGAAAAAAATATTTTTATAGATTTTTGGCAGTGAGAAGCAGGTTGCTGAATCATTTTGTAGCTTAAAAATGCAATAGTGTTATATGAATGTATCTACAGTGAAATGCAATGAACTAATTTCAGATTTGTTTTTGAAAATATTTAAGGCTTCTTCCAAAAAATCCTGAGTCACAAGATGCTAAAAACTATTTTTGCCAAATAAATTATGTCACCAATAAAACAGCATTTACATTAGAATACTAGTAACCTCTTTTTGTAAATGGTTTGTGTTTTTGCACAAACTGTTTTTCTATGAACTATTTACTAAAATCTGAGATTCCAACCAACTACAAATCTCTGTATTTCTCTCACTCCACCTTCAGACCGGATGGTTCTCACCTGTCAGGTTCTGTCCTGAAGCCAACAGTGTTTGCTTTACCAATTTGTCCACCAGGGGGCAGTGTTCACACACCTGAGTTTCAATCAACCTTTTGCTAGGCTGTAGCTACAGTGAAGCTCATAATGTGTTTCATTCAGTGGTGAAAGTAGCTTTGAATTCTTGGCGTTTCAATAACTAAAAACCATCATTGGCTCATTGTTCTCTGTCTCTCTGTCCGTGTGTTTTACAAAGGAAACTCCAAACCCAAACAAAAATGTATCAATGTTTTACTTTATTGCACGCTACGCATTTCAGTCATTTCTAAGGCAGAAATTAGAAAACCTTGATGATATGAAAAAAAATTAAATGTTAAGGTAGGCAGCTGGCATGTATGAATCAATGATATTAGCAGTTAAATCTTTAAAAGTCTGCAAATGTTTTATATGATCACATAATATGCTGTCCTGAATACCCTGGAAATCCCCTTTAACCTCCCATGTAGACACACACACACACACACACACACACACACACACACACACACACACACACACACACACACACACACACACACTTATCTCTCCATCTCTGTATCAAACCCTAAACTAAACCAAAACTCAACTCTCACATCAGTCTTAAATTTAACCCCTAACCATAAACTGCATTTCTCCTTGTTGTTCAGACCTTCTGCTTTTTCTCCCTCCTGTCAAACTGTCTCTCAGTTTGACTGGAGGATATTTACCTCCTCTCTTCTACCTGTGAACCTCACATGTTCCTTTCCTGTAACTTGACACCAACATTTATTACTTACCGATGAGAGACTGAGGACAGTCGGAGGTGTGCAGGTGTAGCACTCGTTGCTGTTTGATCCATATCTGCATTGAACCTTGTCTCCATCAGGGTCAAAGGTCAACAAGCTGATATTCCTCTGACAGTTTGAGGGAACTCTGAGAGAACCAGAAAACAAACATCACATAATTATATCTGATATCAAATAATCTGTTAAAATGATTAGATTTACATCAAGGAGCTTCAGGATACTGACTGATTTGTGCTTCAGTGTTTTTCTTCCATCATTTTTTAGGTACTTAAACTCTTGTTTGAACATTGTTTCTTTGAGAAATTACAGAATGGTTCCTATGTTCAGTATGTCTAATTTAATCTGCATTTCGCAGATTTAAATTTTAAGGAGAAATCTTATTTGTAAGTAATTTTTAATTAATTACAACTCTGGTTTTGTTTCCATGTAACTCTTTGGTTTCTGTTACAGATGAAATCGGTTCGCAGTGTTTGGTTCTCATTTTTCTTTACAAGAAAAAAGAAAAAAAAAACTTCAGAATCAAAATACAATTTATGCTCAATCAAAGACATGAAAGGTTTTAGGTATTTATTATTTACAACATATAAAAACTGAATTACCTCACAAGAGGAAGGATGCCGGTCTGTGGTGATGAGTTTGGTCTGTTGATGTCGGATCGTTTTCTCTCATCAACAAACATCATAGCGAGGGCAGATGTAACGCTGTTTCTGTTATTTATCCAGGTTCCAGGATTATATCTTCAATAGAAGATATTGGGAAGATTTCTAATATTACCAAGTTTCTAAAACACAGAAAACCTTACAGAACAGCAGACCAGAAAACTGACAGGAGGAATTTTAGACTTCTTGAAAAAAAATAAAAATTATAATAATTTATAATTTTTCATGATGTTGAGATTCAGTCACCCATAGGAGTAATAGTAGAAGTTCCTACTGTCCCACTCTGTGTGTTCTCTCAGACACCATTCACCGCTGCTTTCATCGATCTTCTTACTACAGCCAGAGCACGGCCATGACTCAAGCTCCTCACATGAGCTGTAGCCAAACTTAGAGCGATGCACAGCCTGTAGATTTAAAGTGAAGAGGTGTTGGATTCAAGACAATATCTTTTCAAAAGGAAAAATAAAAGAAACTTCAGAGAATCTGAACTTACTGTAAAACTGCTTCCTTGTACATTTTTAGTGGTGTGGGTAAACACGGCACCAGTATAACCAGCTTCTGTCCGGCTGACTATCATCATCATCATCATCATCATCAGCACAGAGAGCAACATGATGAACGAATCGGTTCTGCTAACTAAGATCGGATCATCAGAGACAGGCGACTTTATACAGTCTCTCCTTATTCTCTCTGTTTCCTGTTGGTGACATGGAAACATATTTTTATGGACTGTATTTACATAATGAACCAGGAAATGTCGACACCTGATTCATGATGATCAGAAAAACATTTCCTAGGAGGTAAAATTTGTTTTGCAAACTGAAAGACATTAAATCTATATTTGCTTCATCTCAGTGTTTCTAAGTCCTGCAGCTCCACCAGGTTCATTATTTATCTCAGTTTTTGTGTCTCAGTGAATATTTAAGATGTTCACAGATCAGAGCTGATCACTACCAGTTCACCACTGGTTTCACCAGATACAAACTTTAATGGCTGCAGACCAGCAGTTCATCTCTGCAGCTACACCAATAATATCCAACATATAATCCATGTTATGGTTTTTGTTTGCTTGTTTTTATACCAGTTTTTCCTGATGAATTTTAAAATGCTACTTAGTTTGATGGAAAACCTTCTGCAGTCAAAGTATAACTAGGAAGCTGTAAAAAATATTTATGTTTTAATTTGCTCTTCTGTCTGCTGACTGTAGAACAAAACTTATTTTAGTCCTTTTTCCTTTGTTGTCCAGACATTTCAATAAACATGGTGTTTTTGACACTTCTACAAAAGATGGAAAGGTACAACACCATCATGCAAATTGTTATTTTGCATAATATACGCTTCATTGTTTGTTTACATATTTTTGCATGTTTGTGTAGATCACCTAACAGATGACCTTTACTTTCCTTTCTATGTCCTCAGTTGAACTTCTCCTTTTTTCCCAACATTCACTATGTTCTAGTTTGAAAATGTTATTTAGGTTTGAAGAGTTTAAATGTCTTTCATTCTTTATCTCTGTAATATGAGAAAATCATTTTGTTTGTTATGACTGGTTCAAGGTCATAACATGCACTGGTTACGGTGTAGAAAATGAATATTTATTAAAAACTACAATGACTATGAATGTCAGTGGAGTAAAGCAAATGGTTGGATGTGTTTATATTGGAAGTGTTGAGGTGCAAAAACAAAGACAAACTCAAATGTGCAAGAGGAAGCAGAGCAGGACAGGCATCAGGAGGCAGAGAGGCGACCCAGAAGGTGGAGACGACCAGCTTTAAATGTCCTGAGCTCCAGATCAGCAGATCAGCTAAACCTGTAAAGGAGGAGCACAAGACAAACACCAAAAACACCTGGAGGCCCGTAACACTAACCTTCAACCAGAGTCGGGTTGTACTGAGTTACATTTGCATAAGTAACTTTGTTTGAAAACAATTTTAGGAGTATTTTTACTATGCTGTACTTGAATAGTTTTATTTATGAAGTATCTTACTTGAGTAAAATTTCTGGATTCTCTACCCACTGAATGAAAAACAAAACACGTTTTCACCCATAGTAACTTCCTGAAGGACTGGTGTGGACACGTCCCCACCAATATTTCCTGCTCCTTTCTTTTTCTTTATGTGCCTGCCCTGCATCCATGTGCGGACCAGTGACGTGCAGTCAGGGGAGGCAGAGCCTCACCTGTCATCATGGAAAAATAATATATAATAATAAAATCATTTATAAAGATATTTTCACCCTGTGGTTTGTACTATAAAGTACCTATTTTTCATTTAATTTAACCAAAAATGATGTGTGTTTTTTTTTCTTAAATAAATCGCTGAATTTTCGCATTTTCCCATTAAAATGCTCAGAAGCGAAGCCGGTGAGGCAGCAGCGAGCTGAGCCTCACCTGGGATTGCGCAACCTCTCGCTAACTACACTGGCTGCCATTCTATGGGAGCATGCTCCTCCTGTCTGTACGCCGGCAATAAAATGGTTCAAAATATTTAACATATGAACTGATTTTCCATAATTTAGCTTATGTATTTAATGTACTGTGTTTTTATTGTCACCAACTGTGTGTGTAACGTGTTTCGTGTGCTGAGGAGCGATCAGAAACGGCAGAGAACAGACTGCAGGTGAGGCAGGCAGTTCTCGTGCCTCATCGCTGGGGGCGCTCATGAACCCAGACATTGTGACTCCACAACTGCAGAGCAAGACACAGTGACAGCGAGCTAGCCATACAGTAGCTGCGCTGATACAGAGAGCGAGAAAGACGTGGTTTGAGTTGTACTTTAAAGGTTTCTCCCTTTGATGTTGAGCACAGCACGAAATTAATAATATCTACATGTCTAAGTTTGATTGAAATAACGGAATTATTCTGCGGCGACGGTGCGGCTATGGATGGCATGTGAAGGAATAGCCTTTTTGCCCTCCAGCATACATGCGCGAAATTTCCTTATGTAAACAATAACATGCAGGGGGTCAAGATATGAAAATCCGACTATAATTAAGTCGGTGCCTCACCAGCTATGAACCTCACCGCACGTCACTGTGAAAACCACAGGGAACACAGGAAGCCAGTTATAACGGGATTAAACGAGAGGAACCAGCCAGGAAAAACGAGGAAGAGGTGAAACAATAGACACACTGATTGACTATCAGGTTGCAGGTGTGATGGGAAAAGGAAACGGCGAGAGGAGAGAGAGAGGGAATGGTACAGAGGGCGAGGGAGAGTACTCAACTGGGAAAATTAATCTAACATTAAAGAATAAGTGCCTGTATTTTATTAGTTGGTCTTTTGTGCTTCTCTGAAAGAATAATTCACTGTTGCAGTAATTAGCAACATGCTAGCCTGGTTTTATCCAAACGTCCATCACGTTTATTTTAAGTGAAATTTGCTGCTCAGCACAACAGTCTCACTCTGTTGTTGAACGCAGCACAAATGCGGTGCAACATGTTGCTGTGAACTGGCTGTCAGTGGGAGGAAAGGGTTAGGAGATTGTTGTGTCCTGGTTGTTTGATTTATTCTGTATCCTTAGTTCCATTTTATTAGATCAGTTTTGTTTCTATTTTACTTTAGTTCAGTCCTTCGGTAATTCTAGTTTATTATGTTCCTTGTTATATTCTTTGTCACTGTAGGTTTTTGTCCTCTATCTAACAAAACTAAAAAGAAAAGTACATCCTGAGAGCAGAAATTTGATATTTTAAAATAAAGTTTATTTTATTTAATATATGATGCCAAGTTGTTTTTTAATATATAGTTTTTTTCTGAAATATACATCAAAATGAGGTAAGGATAAATGGAAAAAGAAATATTATACAGTATAATTAACCACTAGGTGTCACTGTTATATCTGGTGATCCATTTCTTCTGACGTTCATTAGTCAAGATGTAATTCCTTGTCTAATGAGTTTATCTAATTTCTGCTCGAGTAAAACCAAAACAGTTTAAAGATAAAATCAAGGCCAAATTATATTTTTTTTAAACTAAACTGTGTCTGCATGATGGAAATCAGAGTTGCTCTGTCAAAGAATAGATGCATGTTTATAGATGTGCATAAATATTCAGGGAATAAAATCACAGTATATGCTACATTAAAGCTCTTCTGTGGGGCTTGATTGATCAGAATTATCTCAATACCAATTTTGATCAATCAGTATGTAGCAATTAAGTGACAGAAACATTTCTTTAGAACTATGTTTATTCTGTATGTGAACTTTCTACTCAAACATCTTTAAGCGTGTATATTCATACTGGACTGGTGATATTACCAGATCATTCTGTGGGAGTTTAATGTTTAATTTGTTACATATTTCTGGTGTTGCTGTGGGTTCAATACACCTTTCAATGGAAGCACATCTGAAATAGTTCAAACTAATTAACAGAGACAAATCCCATATGAAATAAAAATGATTTTTCCATATTTAAAGATAATAATTAACATTCAACTATTTGGCTGTTATTTTCCAGACCTGGCTTAGTAATTTTGATCTAAATTACTAGTTTTATTATTAAAAAATGGTAATTGGCACATTCAATAAAGTAAAAATAAAAAAAAATAAAAATAACAGAGTTATTGATAGCTGATCATTTTATGCTCTAAGCAGTTTGAGATTTTACTGATTTCACTAAATCAAGAAATGTCAGTATTTCACATTATTTCTTTATGAAATGTGAAATATTGCTTTATCTGCACAATATAAAACACAATAAGTGCTTGGCTTTAGTAATGCTTTATTAATATTTTTATCTTACTTTACAGTGAAACTAAGTTCGTCATCCTTAATTACTCCAAAATTCTCTTTTCGTGTTCAGTGTCAGTCCATTTAGTTAATCTTTTCCTGTAATTTTAGTTTTTTATTTGCAAATTAAATAATTTTGATGTCACTTTTTAGCCATAATGGGCTTGTTTGATAAAAACAAACCAATTATTCAATTTATTCGTGAGCAGAGCAAAAAACATAGTAGAAATTCAACATTTGTAACTTAATTCATCCTTCGTGTATAAAATAAATAATTTGGGTCTCAACGCTCGACCTTGAGGGATACCAGAAGTGATGCCAAATAATTATAAGCAGCTGTCATTCAGGTAAACAACTAATGCATAACATACACATAATGGTCTATTACATTAGATTCCTATTAAATAATACCAGAGATCTGCTTGGCCTGAAACCACAGTGACTGTCACGCAGTAGATTATTTACAAATCTCTAAACATTTCTAGTTGGTTGACAGTTTATTGCATTTTCAGCTTCAACTCGCCATCTAGTGGAGCAGTAGTGTAACTGTTACCATGGATCCTTCACAGAAAGATTTCTACTTCATAATCTCAGCTTGAACTTTTTTGTTGGAGATTTTTGTATCAATATTTTTCTTTTCAAAAACATATTTTCTACATAAACTGATCTAACAATTTTTATTTTGAAAAAAAAAATAGAAATTACTAAAGAAATTTGAAAATACAAAAACAGAGAAAAAGAAATGACTTGAAACTTCAGAGAGCGTTATATGGTTATATACAGGTATTAGATACATATTTGGCCTTAGCGACTTGTTGTCACGGCCCTGAGGAGGCGAACAATCATTGTTGGTGGCAGTCCTCGTCTGACCAGTTCATCTTTAATCTGCAGAGGAAAACACAAGGCTTTGTTGAGATGAAATCAGTGGCACATTATGAATTGTTCTGGAATTGTTCTGAATTTGTGTTTGTCCTTCTGACTAAGCTAAATTGTATTTTTTTAATAAGTGAGATTTGACTTTGATTTTCTTCTGCTCTCAGATTTGAGACAAGACATTCTTAGCGAGACAAAACAGGCAGAAGGAAGGAAAAATATCAGAAACTGACAATATCAACTTAATCAGGCAAATGACAGAAATTAGATTATGATCAGTATTAGAGTTCATTAGGTTACTGACCTGTTTCACAATTGTTTCATAATCATCTTCCAGTGACAAACTTGTAGTGATCTTACCATTGAGAGCCACGACATAGTCTAGAAGGAAAGACATATTTTTATTCAGAAAATAAAAACATTTTTTCTACTTTCAGCATTATGGTCGAGAAAACATCAGCTGTAGTCAGACTTACACGGCCCTGAAGCAGGTGTTGAATTTGTAGGTAAAAATGTGGCTGTAATCATAGTTGGGAAGTGGGTAGTTGGGTAGTTGTAGTTGGGGATTGGGTTGTTGTAGTTGGGGATTGGGTTGTTGTAGTTGGGGATTGGGTTGTTGTAGTTGGGGATTGGGTTGTTGTAGTTGGGGATTGGGTTGTTGTCATTAGGGTTTGGGTTGTAGCAACAGGTATAGGGGTAGTTGTAGTTGTTGGTGGTTTAGCTGCAGTTGTTGATCAACCTAAGCAGGTAAAAGTGCATTAATAGAATTATCAGTAAAGAAAATCACTTGTTCAATTAAACAATAAGGAAAAACCCAAAAATGATTCAACTCACTGTTTCCAACTGTTACAATGACAGCGAAGCTCAGTCTGATACTGAGAACTGGAGACACTGTGGAAGTATACTCAAATGTAAATATATTATTAATTCACTTGACAAAATAAAATTTGTCTGCAAACTCATACACAAAACCACTTCATAGATATATAAGCAATAGATATCAATGCTTGACACTAAGGATATCATTGTGTTTGTGATGTATTGTTTTGTTTTGTTTTTGTGCTAGGGCCTTTTATTTAGGTTTTTGTACATCTCAAGTGTGATGTTTATCAGACTAGATACTGACGTTGCCTGGATAACGAAACAGATGGGGTGACTTTCTCCACCTTCGGCCACAGATGGTGTCCACGTCAGAGAGAAGCTTCCTGATCCCAATGAACTCTTAGTTACGTTGTACGGCCCGCTGTACAGGAGCTCAGATGATCTTTATCAAACAGGAAATGCAGAGAATTGTTAGAAATATTTTCCAAGGTTTCAAGCAGCTGCTTTTCTTGATGTCATAATCTAAATATGTTGACCGACATCTGACTCAGGCATGAAAACTTTTCTCAAGCCTTATCTCAATAACAGATAAGATCCAATTCCTGATTGGATGGCATGACGTACTTACAGCTAAAACCATTTTACTCTTACTTACGTGGCTTGAGTTGCCTGTGAACTGATGGTGATCATCAGCATCTGGTTGACTGATGTGTAGAGCTGAGCTCTGTTGTTTGGAGTTGGACTCAGGAATCTGGGCAGATATTGACCTTCTGTGCAGGACGGTGCTGCAGCGTCCACTGAAACAATACAGGGAAACTACAAACTCAGCCTTGCTGATGGAAATACTGACTCATCTGTTTATACAACAGACCACCATCTAAATGTATTAGTTCAAATCATAAACCGTGATAAAATATCATGCAAAGTGCCTCAAGATAATATTTGCTGTGTACTGGCACCAAAGTCAAAAAGCATGCCATCATGCTTCTACCACTTCTTGTTGTCTTCTTTGTCTTTTCTGGTATAAAACTATAGCTTATTGCTATTATAAGTAGCAACTTGAAGTAAAAAGTACCTTAACAAGTACCTTAAAAAACACTTGTTAAGGTACTTTTTAACAACTTGTTTTAACTGTATTTCCAGATCCTCGGCTGAGTTCCACTTGCGCTGCTCCAAGTGAATGCGGCCCGTCCACCCTTTGTCCACTTGCCAGCTCCCAGCTGACTTCTTAGAAACTCCGGCACTGCCCGCTCTTCGGCGTATCACGATCCTTTACAGCCAGACCCAGCTAAAAGAAAGAGACAGGGAGAGCGCCAGCAAGCCTGTCCCAAGACTCCATCGAGAGGTTAATTTCCTGTAAACACTCTGGGACGGAACACTACTTACAGGCGCGGGCAGGGGACCTCCTCTGCCCTGATTCTCTGTGCTCTATGTCTGGGGTGCGGATTTTGTCCGTCACTCGTCAGGATCCGTCTCTCTCGCTTGCAGGGCTCCGCCTCCGGCTGCCTTCGACCTGGTGCGTTCGGGTGTTAAAGAGAAAAACAAAA